CAGCTCAGAGGCACAACTTTTCACAGGACTAGATGCTTTGCGTGTTTCAAGCTTTTGGAGAACAAGATTAAGTTCTGCCATTGTAAATGGTCTATTTGTTTCTTTCTTGACGGAGGTTCCAAAATGGAGGGAGATTGTCTCTTATGGATGAGATGGGAATTTCGGAGGCGAAAAGAAGTACGTAATTGGCGAACCTGCTTCCCTTGGTTTACATTGGAGCCATGGAAATCATCTTGAAGAGTTGTAGCTTTAAACTGTTTCTTGTCTTTTCTAGTCAATTTTTTCAGGCGCTTTCGGAACTGTTTGACCGGACAGGTTATCCGTGTTTGAATCCATTTTGGCAAGAAGGTTAAGTGGTGTCTGGGTAATCTAGGATTATTTAGAAGAAAAACTGGAGAGCTGGAATATCGCGGAAAGGGAGGTGGGATTTTTGGAATCACTAATGATGCAGAACTATTTATCAATGCAAGAACTTTCCAACCATCTTGATTGAAGCCAATGTCTGGCGGGTTAGAGGGGCGAGTGCAGGTAACAGCGCGTGTTGTGAGTCCGTGTGAATATTGATGTAAAAGCCTCTTTGGTAATTAGCTGTAGTAAAGAAAATGTCAAAAAATTCAAGAGCACGGAACTCTTCTGTGCTATAAATTTCCGGCAAGATGGAGGGAATCTTTAAAAGCGCCTTTTGGACACTCAAGTGCAGGTCTCGGTAGTTCGTCTGCTCTCTTTAGGAAAACTTGCAAGTCGGATGCAGGCTGGAGTCAGAAGAACAAGGGGACTTAAAGGGGTTAAGAGGGAGCTTAGAGCGGCTTGGTGGGGGTATTAAAAAATGGTAGAGGTAGCAGCAGTAGTAGTCGCAGTGCCTTGTATAGAGTGGATGTCAGCTACACCATTGGCTTGAACAAAAGGGCGGTCGGAGAGGACGCAGTTCCCACGCGGAGGAAGTTAGAGGCGGAGTCTTCCCTATCTGCAAACCTTCAACATTTGTCGTCTCTTTCAAGTTCGACTTTAAGAAGAGGTTCTTTAAGGCTTTACAAGTCACAATAGAAGGTCTTAAATTTGGAAAAAAATCGTTATTGCAAATGTCACGTTGCGCTTAATGTCCTTGGAAAAGCTTTTCCGTGCAGCCTGATATGTGATGCCCAGCCAAGATGTCTTACTGAAGGGACTTATCAGCTTGGAGTTGATTTCCGCTTTCAATCCTAATAGGTGTTATTCGCGTACTGAGCCGAACTAAAGTGTGGCTTGTCTTCCCTCGCAGGCTGGTTTAAGATGGTCAGCTGTACAGTAGCAAGTTGACAATAAATTCACGCTCAAAGACGTTTTTATTATTAGATTGAAGGGTAGCAACCCTCCAAGCCTACTAAACCTGCCTTGAACTTACTGGTGCAGTAATGATAGTTCTTAGGTTTGGAGTAGCAATGTGAGTGCCCGCTAGGATTCGACTGGAGCTGCATTTTTCTGTAAAAAATCTGAAAGCAAAAGCTAGATCACGTGAGCAGACCTGCAACGTGTTTCGGAAATCATAGTTTTAGCCAGGCATCCAACTCTGCTTTTGTTGTTGTGTTTTTGCAAAGCAGAGAGATCCACTTGGCTTGGTACTTGTGCGGACACTGCCGTCATCGCTGCATCATCCATCCCTCTTGGCGAGAATCAGAACTGTGCGAAGTAAGTGGAGCACAGTACCGTAGAAAAGACGCACTTAAATCTTTGTAGTTGCTTGGAGTTGCTCTTTTATGTATGCCGTGCAGATAAATTTTGAAATTGTGATGTTTCAAGCACCAATTCAACCAAAACTACGTTTTCTGGTGATTACACCTCCAGTTTTCGATTTTTCCCTAGGTTCTTCGTAGCTTTAACGGTACATCCTAAACGTTACACGTGGCTTTGTAAAATCTAGGTAAACGCATAGTAGAAACGGTCGTGCTAATCTGTAAAACATTTTTTTTGCCTTGATCTCCTTCTGCGCTGCGCGTGATTTCTTTTTATAGCTTGCCATGGGCACCCATTTATCGAAAATGAACTTGGCAGAGTGAGCACTCCAGCTACGATCTTAAAAGTTTGGCACATTCGGCAGCTCAAAAAGTGGTTCCGCAAAGCTGAAGCTATGGCCAAGCTCTCTGGGTCGGAACTGTAAGACTCTGTCCCTGCTTTTTTGCTTACTGGCCGGAGTTGATGCATCAGCAAGACTTTCTGGGAAAAAATACCGTGAGAGTTTTCCGATGGCTCCAAATAACAGTAGTGGATCTCTGGAGGTTTTGCTCTTACGACATACTCCCCATCGTAAATACCACACCTGCTAGAACGTGGCTTGCGTCAGGCGGACCGGTGAAAACAGAGTCTGTCAAGGATTCTCTCCATCCCCTTGTCTTCTTAAAGCTCGCTTGAAGCGCTTAAAAAGCCGACTTTGAAGAGTTGACCCTTCAAGTCCGCCTTCAAGGTCGATACAAAGCCTTCAGCTCTGAAGGGTGCTTCAAGGGAACTTGAAGGGAACCCTTGGAAACTTGAAGCCCTTTTTTCAATGCAGAGCAACGGGACATTCCGATGTTGGCAACCGCTGCGTCAGCCTAAAAAAAAAGAAAGTCTGCCGTCCAGCTTGACCGGCAATTGTCAGAAGCCTTGAACTCCAGAGAGTGGACCAGGTTGAGGAAGGCTACGTGGTTGCATCGCATGCGAGTTACTTTGTTGACACCACGCTTGGCCCATTTCCAGAAATCCTTTGGATGAGAACTACTTTGGGCAGGCGGGGTCCAGGTGGTTCATGCTTGAGTGGCGTGAGGGTGTGAGTGTCCTTGCGACTGAAGGTTTGTCACCTCCCTTCAATGAACCTGACATCGACCTTGCATTGACATTTGCGTATGATGATCCAGACCTCGCTCCTGAGGAACTATATAGGGTTCAGTTTAGTTGGATCAAGTGAGCCTGCAGAGGTTGTTATGTATGTGCCTGAGATGTCAGCCGCATCTCTTGATGAACGATCTCAAGTGCCAGCAGATGAGGCATGTGCAGAGCAACCAGCAGCAGACCGCGTCATGCCACTCCCGCCTGATAGCATTGATTGAAGGTGTTCAAGTTACCAGTGAGTCAAGCCTCATTGTTCTGCGTGCTGCGTGTGAAAACTTGGGCTTTAGCAGGGGGGGCTGGAAACAGGAAGCAGTGTTGGAGGAGGCTATGCAGCAATGTGCAGAGCCAGCAACTTCTTGTGGACCAGCAGGTTGAACATAACTTGTCATCCTCGCGTGAGCGTGTTGCTGATGCGCCTCCAGTTCCATCTGAGCCAGATGAGTCAACCAAAGCCAAACACAAGTTGACTCATGAGCCGTACGCACCATGGTGCCCAGTTTGCGTCGTTCATAGAGCCCGCCAGGATGCCCACGCAGCACAAGCCCATACATCATCCCCTGCAAATATTGTGAGCTGGGTCTTTGGTTTCCTGAGCCGAAAGGATGATGACGCAGCCAAGCTCACCGTGTTGTTTGGGATTGACAGGGGAACTCATGCTGTGTGTGCCACTCCAACGAGTAGGAAGGGCGGCCCTGCCACTAGCTACATGGTCAGCGAAGCGGCCAGATTCGTGTGCTGGCTTGGATACCCGACTGTGAAGTTGCGCAGTGATTGTGAGCCAGCGATTATGGCAGTCATTCATCACCTGCAGAAAGCCCTGAGAGGACTGAACATTGGTGTTTCGTTTGACAATTCTCCAATTGGAAGCCATGAGTCGAAGGTGCTGCAGAGCAAGCGTTGCAGCAAATCAGGCAGCTGGCGTGTGTGTACATTGCGCAAATGGAAATCAACAGCGGTGTTGCTGAAATTTTCTTGGCCAATCATCCCATCTTTGGTTTCGCAGTTGCGCATGCAGCCTGGGTGATGAACCGTTTCCGGGTGTCTCAGAATGCCACGCCATTTGAGCAGGTCACCTCATCAGCCTACTTTGGAAAGGTAGCTATGTTTGCTGAACAGGTCGTGGGCTACTTGCAAACTGAGGCCAAGGGATCAGCAAGGTGGATCAAGGCAGTGTGGCTAGGTAAATAGTTGCAACGCCGTGGGAGTGTTCGTTACCCGCTCCATTCGGAGGCTGCCTCGACCTTGGAGTGCAAATTTTGTGGCTGAGATCTCTACTTGCGTTTCGGAACATGGGTTAGCATCATTGGGAACCAAGCTTGCTCTTACAAAGAAGACAGCAGTTCCGGCCCCAGAGCCAATTGCATTGTCTGATGTGCCTGTGCCACTCTTTCCTGCAGGCCAGGCAGCAGGTGAAGGCGTAGGAACTCCTGATGAGGCAACGACTGATCCACCCGGGTCAAGTGCCAATGCAAGCCGGCGCAACAGCGATGTGAGCATGGGCAGCTTTGTGTCGGCGCAGGACATTGCAGGTGCGTCCTCTTCCAACATGAATGTACAGGTCCCAGGTGCCGCAGGTTCAGAGGTGCTAGGTCATGGTGGGGCACTGAGCAGGGTTTAATGCGATGCCCATGTGCGTATCATTACTTGTGATCTGCCTCCCTTGACTTGTGAGGTCCAAGGTCCTCCTTTCCCAGGTGCACGGGTAAGGCAGTGTGCCAGGTTTCAGGTGCACAGGTGAGGCAGGTAGGTCAATGCGCCATTGATGTCATACAACAGGTCGGCCATGAGGATGAAAGCCCAGAAATTTGCATCAGTGAGGATGTTTTGGATGAGCTTGAAGAGGAAGAACTTCTTGATTCAGGGCACGACTATGAGCCTGAAGGCTTGAGTGAGATGGAGGAGAAGCTCAAGTTGCCACGCGATAGTGAGGATCCTCCTCATCTGAAGCCAGCAGACCTGTCATCCCTTGATGCCTTGGCCGAAGTTGTGGAGATAGAGCGGCTTAAGAAGCTAGGCGTCCTCCTTGACCCGATGTGCTTCAGACAGAGATCAAGAACCTCACCGCGAGGATGGTTTAAGACTGGAGGGAGAAAACGCCTGGAGACAACATACCCATCTGGTCGCGCAGAGCTCGCTATGTGGCGAGAGAATATTCGTGGCTTGAGTCTCGTGCCGACATATTTGCCCCCGCTTCATCATGCCTTATGAACAGACTTTTCCTTATCCATTTTGTGGCAAGCTCCAACCCTGACCGTTGTTTGGTGGCAATCTACGTCTCACACGCATTTCTGACCGTAGATCAGTCGTTTACAAGCCAGCAGATGGCAGCCCGCCAGTTTACTTTGCCTTGGGGCAAAGTGCTGCCAGGTCAAAGGGACGGCGGAGAGAGATGGTATGTCTCTCTGACAGAGTTCCTGAAGAGATCCTTGGGCATTGAGGCCTTGAAGTCATATATATCCTATTTCGTTGCGTGCGCCCCAGGACAGTGTTATGCAACTTCATGTAGATGACATTCTTGGCAGCGCAACTCGCAAGTATACGCATGAAGCCTTGAAGCCAACACTGGAGTCCAGATATAAGATTAAGTTTGAGGTTTTGAGTGAGCCAGGCGATGTGATTTGGTTCCTCAAGCGTAAGCTGCGTTTGATCAGTGCTGACCAGCTTCGCGTGACGCCTCATCCGAAGTACGTTGAGCGCTTGGTTGATCTTTTGAAGGTCAATGGTCCTGGGAGGAAGAAGACCCCATTGCTTGCCGAGTTGGAGAAAGTAAGCGCTGACAGCAGCCAGAGTTTGGGCGAGCCACAGGCCAAGATTTTCAGGCAATGTGTTGGCATACTCTTGTATGTTGCTTCTCATTATGTGGACTGTCAGTACACAATAGGTTTGCTGGCAAGCAAGATGAGCAGCCCCAATCAGACGGCCATGAAAGTGCTCAGGCACTTGGTTTCACACATGCAGGGCAGAGTGTCGGAGGGCATCCTGATCTCAAACAGAGGTCGCCGCGCAGGGTTGCTGGGCAACTCCACGGATCCTGAAGCATGGATTGAATCCTTTAGTGACTCCAATTGGGCGGCAGACCAGGTGACGAGGAAGAGCGCCAGCGCAGGATGCATATGCGTGTTGTGCAATGTTCTGCATACTTCTTCACGTAGCCAGCGTGAGATTGTCCTCAGCTCTGGAGACGCTGAGCTTCTTGCGTCAGCCGGAGTGCTATGTGATTGCATGCTTGTTCGAACTTGCGTGTGTTTTGCATTTTACCTGGATGCGCCTCCACCTATCACACATCATGTGGACAGCGCTGCAGCACTAGGTGCGTTGAGGAGGCAAGGTGTTGGTAAGATCCGGCGTTTGTCCACACGCATTTTGTGGCAGCAATCTGCTGTGAAGTCAGGCATCGTCATTCCTGAAAAGATTGGTACTGATTGGAATGTTGCCGATTTGGGTGCCAAGGGCCTCTCACGTGCCAGAACGTTGTTCCTCAAGTGCCTTTTGCACGTGTACGACAGCGAGGAAGGTGCCTATGTTGGGGAAGATGAGTATGCGTCTCAATTGCAGTGTGCCTTGTTGAAGTCAGCAGTGCGGCAGCTGAGGCAGGTAGGTGCCGCAGCCAGCAAGCAGATGATCAGGCAGGTGGTTGTGGCAGCTTTGTTGTCGACGCCTGTGTTGGGTGCTGGCAGTGTGACAGACGCCTTGAGCTTTTCGCCCGGCATGGTATGAGTGTTGCTACTGCTGCTAATCATCTTGATTGCGTGCACTTTGCAAGGATGTGAGCCCATGAGCTCAGTGTGGGCCAGGACTGATTGGTCCCAGGTTGGTGACAGGGGCAGTGATTCCGATGATTGAAGTGTTCATTGCTCTACTTGGCGTGGTGTGGTACCTGCTGAGCCGCAGTTTGACCAGTGCAGGTCAGCCAGAGCCAGAGCCGCATGATGGATCACCAGCGTCATCCATGCCCCTACTTGAGAGCATTGATGAACTCAGCGAGTCGCAGCCTGAGATGAGAACGATGATGATGGTGAGCCTAATGACGATGTTGAGCCCGATGAAGGTGTTTGGCCGGATGGTGACAATGGAGCCGGAGTTTGGAGTGATGATGAGCCGACCAATGAGCCAGGTCGAGGGCCAAATGATGGCCCACGTGCGTTCGAACCCGAACCGCTTCGCTTGATGGAGACTTCACCGGAGTGCAGGCCCAGCCATTGGCGTTGCTCGATGATGTGCCACAGGATTTTGCGCCTGACTTGAGTGACAACAACAACAAGGTTGGTGATGGACAGGGAGCCGTTGACAAACCGTCGTTGCAGGTTTTGGTGCCTCTCTTGTGTTGCAGTTTCCTAGGAGTGTACATGCAGATTGGTACATAACGCCAGTCAGCGGACGCAGAGTGCATGTTTATCGAAATTGTGATGGACTCAGGCGAGCCAACCGAATCACCTTCATAACTGAAGAAGAGCGCGTGCAGCAGTATGGACATTTGCAGATGTGCCCTTTGTGTTTTTTTCAAGTGAGGCATATGGCGCATCGGACCTTGGATGGTTGGTAGTAACGATGATCCTTCTGCTTTGAACGCGTGTCTGACCACACGAGGTCAGCTGTGTGTCACAACACATTTCTTGAGGATGCGTGGTGCAGCCTATTCCTTGTTGATGCTCATGATGCAATTTGACTTCACTTGAAGTGGGAACACCATCTCTTGATGTGTGGATTCACCAATTTGGTGACAATACCCGAGTCATGTTGCGCATTCAATTTGGAAACTCCGAATAGCATGCATTAGATGCAGCTTTGACCAGCTAGGGTCACTAATCCTTTAGCATGTGCAGCCGTGCACATATGCATCAAGGTGCCAATAGGTACGTAGAGGTCAGAAGTCAGAAGGTACGAGTTTCACTTGCATGACCAGCAGCGTCATTGTAGCGGACATCGAATCGATGGGAAACCTACTGGAGTCCTGGAGCGTCTATTGCACTGCGTGTTGGAGCTTGTAGAGTGACATGTGTGCCCAGTTTGACATGTTGTTTCCACCAGTTCCCAATTCAACTTATGGAAAGTGTGTGCACAACATCCGTTGGACTGAGTGCTGAACCCAAACTTTGGCGGGGTGCAAAAGTATGCGCCTCTATACTGGTGGGTGTGGTGGTGTTGCTACTCCTTAAGCCTTGGCATTAGATGCCATGAAGGAAACCTGATTTGATTTAACCGTTTTGGGCCACATGTTTAGCTCCACATGTTTGTGCATGACATACATGCTCCGGTTGGCGTCTGAAATATCAAGGAAAATTATCACAATTCCAGGATGGGTTGTCTCCAAGGCTGAACCTGTATTTATGCCACGGATTTAAGGTGACTGCTTGAGAAAGGGTTCAACAAATCGCGCTTGCTTTCAGGAATTTTGCTGACATATCTTTGCACAGACAGTGAGGAATCTGCCGAACTTGTTGTTCTGCTTCGTAAATCGTCTTGGCATCGCTTGTTCAATGGACTTGCAGATCTGAGGATTTTCAAGTGAAGTTCTTGCCGGTTGCCAAGATGTTTGGCAGCGTGTTTCTCGTTTCAAATTGACCATTCTAGGGTTTAGTGTTCTGGGATTGTCTAGGGGTTATGTAAGGGATGTATGTTTACCATTTTGCCAATTTCCTGATTGTTGGGGACTTCGAGTTTCAGATGTGTGCATGGTTGCAAAAGCAGAAAGCCGGCACAAATGATGTTCACATACCTTTCATTACTCAGATTGAAGATGGGTTAGGCCAAGTTGAGGTGAGCAGGTTTGATTCAGTTTGGTGGCATCCGATGATTTGGGTGGGTTGCTGCTGCTGTAGATGGGAGTCCGAAGCACCACAACCCATCCACTCCTGTTTTAAGCCTTACCAATTCCGTAGTGGAGTTTAAGTCACCTGGCCTCAATCATGTTGTTGCACTGCTGTAGACCATGCCCAGGCTGCGGTTGGCAGCGTCGACAGAAGAGCGGAAAGCTCAGAGCAGAAAGTTAAACATCAAGAACCAGTCAGCTGGAAGATTGCCCCCGTTCAACTCCAAACAAGGCCCTCTAGGCCCGTTCCTGCTAAGAGAAGCGGATCATGTGGATTTTCCGCATGCATTTTCCAGTACACGTTTCATGCGGAGATTCACAACTTTTCCCAGGTGCGGGGTGCATGAACACCATTTTCTCAAATCTGAGTCATGGCTTTAACTCAGCTTCACCTTAAACCCTAAATAGTAGTTTCCATTTTCTTGTCCATTATCCCAATACAATCTACTTAATGGGGATTGCGGGAACAGGGCCCATAAGATGCTTGCTGTCAGGACCGCTGCCACTTCAGCTCCCAGCAGATGATTCGGCTTGGAGAAGGTGGGGGCCCACACCCTACACCCCATTTTGAGCCCAGAATCTTACACCGTTAAACTTAAATCATACAGCCGAAGCCCCAAACCGTAAATCCTAAACCCTAAACCCAAATGCCAGAGCACGGCCTTAGTGAGGTGTTTGCAGATTGGGTATCATGTCTGGATTTGCGACTTCTTGATGCTTCCTGCAACGCCTCCAACAAGTTGAACCTGTCGTGCAGTCAACAGGCTCTTTGGGAGGCGGTTTGGGGTATGATTTCCTATCCGAAAGCAACATGGGTGAATTTGTCAACAAAGGTGTTTGTTGGCTTTTCCCGTTTCGCGATCTTGGCTCCCATCAGTGATGAACCTGAATCGCAAATCCGCAGGAAACATCCTTCAGGTGCATGACTGAGAAATATGGAATTGAGCACTGCTGCTTGGGTTCTGGGTTTAATATAGGGTTTGGGCATAGAAGCGCTGATGCCTATGGAGAGGTACTTATCTTGTGAGGCCTTGGCTTGAATATCAGAGACATCCTCGATGATTTTCACAGCCTCCTAGTCAACAGCTGCTGCTGCACAATACTGCTGTAGCCCATTACCGTTGTTGACTGTTTTTTCCATGACTGTTTATTTTTGTTGCGGCGTCGGCATCAGCGCCTGACGTTGAATTATGCCCCTCAAAAAGCAACCCATCTTATCTAAGCGGTCTTTAGCCTCCATATGGTGATTCAAAAGCGTGATCTCTTGGGCACCCGAAGAATTCAGGAACATGACATACGACGGACTTGAGAAAAGGACCGCATTTTTTTGACAGCGTAAATAATCACGTAGCCCTCGTGCCATTCGTGCAAGCATTTTGGCTTTCAGCTCCACCCCTCTCTGTGCTCTTTCTTTTGCATCTTCGCCATGACCTGGGTCTACAACTTCGGCTCTGGGAATGCGGACGGCCGAGCCGAGATGAAGCAACCTGGCCAGCGACAAGGATCATACCCACAGAGAGGCCAAAGCCTAGTAAAGCCAAGTAATCCTGAGAGGGGTGACAAGCATATGAGCTTTAGTCTAAACTTCTTAAAGGGTGTCATATAGGGCGTTATTAAGGGGAGTAGTTCAGGTTGTTAAGGGGATACAAGGAGTTTAGACTATATAGCGCATATGAGAACTTCAAAGATGGATAGGAAAGACATGATTCGGGGTTCCGTCATTCTTCGGGGTCCTAGGGGGATTACGTGGCCTTTTTATCGTTGACCGCATTCCAAAATATCCTGACAGCCTCATTTATGCATTTATAGGATTTGTTTGACGGTAGGCAGAATAAGAACATTTCTTATTACATCCGTCACAATTTCTGCTATTACCGCTGCTGCTGCTCCTGTGTCCATAGAGTGTACCTACCGTCTGTCTCTCAGGAACCTCCTGGGCGGCAAGGGTGCCAACCTCGCAGAGGCGCTGCCAAGCTCAGGGGTGGGTCGCAAGGTCCATGGGCAACCAGCAGAGTCAGAAGTCAGGAGGACTCCCCACCCTCTCATAGGTATTCCAGGGCAGTCCACACATTGCCCCCAGAGGCTCCTAGATGGTAGCATTCTCTGCCAGATGGCTTCGATCGGGCTTCCAGTTCCGCCTGGCTTCACCCTGACGACGGAGGCGGCAAAGGGAGGTTTGAGATTTCAAATGTTGAAAAGACTGGTACTGAGTGGAAAATTGCCGATTTGGGTACCAAGGGCCTCTCACGTGCCAGAATGTTGTTCCTCAAGTGCCTTTTGCACGTGCGACAGCGAGGAAGGTGCCTATGTCAACATGCTTGCGAGGCAATTGTTTAGGCAGTCTCTCATACATAGCTTTCATCTATTGGGATGTCTGCTATTCGCCAGTAACCGCCCTTGCGCAGCCTTGCTTCCAGCTAGTGGAGACTTCAGACGCAAGGCCCTTGCCTGGTCTGAGGTTTGCACATACTACTACCAGAACGACTGCGCCTTGGCAAGGACATCAGCGCCAGGAACTTCCAAGCAGAGTAGGAAGGGAAAACGGTGCATCCAGATGCAGAAAGGAAGTAGTGTCATCGAAAGCACTTCAGGTGCTACTGTGCCAACTTATCTAGCTAATGCTTCTCGTCCTCTTACGAGCGCCAGCGCCACCTTCCCGCTTCTCTTCGCGAGGTCAATATCCTGCTGACCTCAAGGAGCAGGTGAAGAAGGCCCTGGCTCTCATCGAAACAAGGCCAGGTGAGAGTTTCTTCAGTGAACCCCTGTAGGGTCCTTAGGTGGGATCCCCCAAAGCCCCTCATAATCCTTCCACATATCTCTAGGACACATAGGGTTCCCATTCTGTAGCAGGCCCAATGTTTGATCGTTTCGGGTGTGTCTCGAAGTCAGTCTAGATATTGAATGGCAG